CCCAGACTCGTAGAGCGGCTCGCGGTACCCCTTCCCCGCGGAGCCACGCCCCCTCGGAGCCACGCCCCTGCCCCGCCCCGCGGCCCCGCCCCGGCCCGCGCCTACCATCCTTCCGGTAGAAGGCGATCTCTACTTTTCGCTCCTCCGCGCCCAGCAGGGCCTGCGCGATCTGCGCGGCGGCGCGGCGCTGCGTGCGCGGCCCGTGCAGGAAGTCGCAGGTGCAGGGCCGCTGCATCACCTCGGCCCGCGAGTACCCGCACAACTCGCAGAAGCCGTCGTTGCAGTAGATGACCGCGCAGTTCTCCACCCGAGCGTTGGCGATAATGAACTTGCGGCCTGGGGGGAGGAGCGGGCATGTGAGCAGGACCCTGTCTCGGGGGCTTCCAGCCCTGCCCCCGCACTCCCCGGGATAAACAGCCCCCCCGGGCGCTCCCCGCCCCAGGGGCACAGCCGGCACGGAGTCCCTACGAAGGGCGAACGCAGCTGCGCCCCACACAGGTGCCTGGGCCGACGCGGCCGGCGCGCCCCCTCCCCCCCAGCCCTCGGGCTGGCTGCCTGGCTTCCCCCGGGCAGGCTGCCAGCCGCCCGCCGCCCCCTCCGCGCCCGGGGCGAGGCCAGCCTGGGCGGGTGTCAGCAACTCGTGTCAGCAGCCCTTCAGAGGGATAAACACAGGGCCTGGAGAGGGAGCTTGGGAAGGGCCAGAGATGGCGGCCAGCCTTCCCTTTGCACCCGCTCCTGGGCTTCCCTTCTTGACCCCCATCCCTGTCTACATTGGGGCTGCGCCCCCCCTCCCGCGCGCACTCCTTACCCCGGGGATCCCTAGGAAACTCCTCCCCCAAGTATCTGCGGACCCTACCAGGTCAGTACTTCCCAGGATTTCCCTGCACCCTCCCCCCACGCCAAGTGCAGTCAGGGGCTGTGGGAGGAGTCCAGAGCACCCACAGGCCGTATCTTCTGCGGTTCTCTGACAGCCCCAGAGGTGGGCATCAGTACCCTTCACAGGTGGAGAAACAGGCCCCCAGGAAGTTCTGAGCTGCGCCCACCCTTGGAGCCTGGCAGAGGCAGGGCCGCTTTTGAACTCAGACCTATCTGGCAGAAGTGGAAGGAGTAAGCTGAGGGGGACTGGCAGAAGCCAAGGTCATGAAGTGACCGGAGAGGGACCTGCAGCTCCAAACTCTGGAAACACCTGGCACCCAGCAGCGGCCTGAGGCCCTGCTCATTGCTCAGAAGACAGACAGAGGAGAGGGGGCTCCCCAGGAAAGAGAGGTCTGCCTCAGCATGGCCCCATCAAGGAGAAAGAGCCCCACGGCCCCATTTAGCTCAACTTGGCTTCCCCCCTCCATGCCTGCCCCAAGAGCCAGGCTGGCATCTGAGCAGCAGGCAGGCAAGCAGGCAGCAGCCCTCGCCTGTGCCAGGGAACACACTCGGGGATAAAAGCTTTTTACAAACGCCGAGGTTTCCGGCCACTTTAGCCTCTAATGCTGGGGCTTTCAGTGGCACTCGGAAGTCTGCCCCTCCAATCCGGTGGGCACAGCCCTCAGGCTGCAGCAGCCAGGCTTCCTCGCCTGCTGCGGCCATCGGGGCCTGGCCTTCTCCTGCCTCCTTGGCCCTGACCCTGGGTACCAGGAAGTCATTTTCTGAAGCTGGGTCATCTTTAGGTCAGTTCCCAAGGCCCCCCCAAGCCCCAGGCAGGTGTCAAGCCCAGGAGTCGGGGCTCCCCTTCAAATGGAAAGCCACCCGAGCCCAAGGCAGGGAGAGTACCAGCCACACATGCCACCTCCGCAGAAGAAAAGCCACCTAGCCCCCGCTCCCAGGCCCGGAGAGAAGAGCCAGATTCTTCGAAGGCAAGTCCCCCCCCTTCACCCAGATCCTGGAATACAGTGCCGAAGGAGCCTTAGAGGCCCATTGGCCTGCCCTTCCTTCCCAGAGGTGGGGAGTCACTCAAGGTCATGTGGCAGAGTCATGGCAGGCAGAGGTCAGAAGTGAGACCCCAGCTCCCAGCCCAGGTTCTTCCAGGCCCCCTCCACCTTGTGGAGGGATCCCCTGCCGGCCTCCCTGGCCCCTCCAGCGTGTCTGTCTCCTCCCTGGAGATCATCTTGTTCCTCAGCTCCAGACAGTGCTGCTCCTGGGCTGACCCTCCCTCCCCCCACCACAGCCATAAGCACATGCCGTGCTGTGCTCAAGGGGTCAGGGCAAGGAGTGTCCCCCACTCCTGGCCCAGGCAGTCATCACACCCACTGCGTGGCACATGTAGCACGGGGTACAGACACAGGCCCGGGGGTGGGGGGGGAGCAGGCATCCACACGCCGAACATTCACTCACCCACTGGGACACTTCTGGACCCCTCCCCTAAGGGGCTGGCAGTAGGGGTGCTTGGTGCCGACAGCCGCATTGACATAGTGCTCATGATGGGGAAAACCAACACTGGGACACTACAGGAAGCCCCTCAAGGCCCAGCTTCAGCTCATGACTGCCCATCCCCCTGGGGCCTTGCAGCCAGACCCCAGCTCTGGCATGGTCCACCTCAGGGCGGCACTTCCACACCCACACACCCAGGAGCAGGTGAGGCGCAGAGCCACCTGCCTCACAGTCCACAGGGCACACAGAGGGTACAGCCGGGGAGCACCC